TCGTACCAGACAACAACATCTAACAGATTTAAACGGTCTGTCATTTAATCACAGAAACCACTACTACCAAATGTACCCTAAGATGGCTACATTGAGTAATGAAATAAACTCATGAAATTACTCTCTATAGGCTTGTTATTCTTAGTACATTCGGTAAACTTTCACAGACGTTCTTACAACTGTATGCCAGTCCATAATAAAATTTTAATCAAAATAGAAATATTTCAACTCTGAATTGAGAATTATTGTGTTATGTTTTATGTTGTAACCAAAGTTTAAAAAAGCTTTGAATTTTGACGACAAAGTTCAATGAATTTAAGGTAAATTGTACAAACTGTTTCCTGCAAAAACAGTGTTTATGAACGAGTGAATCTCACGGGGCGGGATCGTGGATGCATACTGCTGAGGAGTCTCATCCCAGGACGAAACGGCTGTCCAGTGCTTCCAGGTTTTTCATGATGGTCTAGCTTCAAATGACTTATGAATTCAACTTTTAAATTACTAGAATATCCACAAAACTCCTCTCTGATTATAACAAGTGCATAATCCTACCGAGATTACTGACGATTCATTTATCAATAATGTAAATAAACACATTACCAAAAAAAGAATATTTTCCCTAAGTAGATTTTAATCAATCGTTTGTAGAACGATGATTCATCAGGTTAATTGGGATGATAATGTTGATTGATTTTATTTCAACAGTAAGTGGATGAACATTATTGACACATGTCAATTTTTTCTCATCAATCATGCAATAGACGATATATTTTCTTATTATTCAACCAACTACTATTAAGATAGCAAGTAGTATATGTCATTAGTGAGAATATTATTTTTACGACTTAAAATTTCGATATGTATAGACTTTTTTGTTTAAATTCAAAGTTTACCTACATATATATAGTAGATATTAACAATTTCTTGGATATATATGAAAGAGAATTGTTAATGATTTAATTCGAAAGATAAGATATTTTATGACTATGGAAGATTATGTCTTTCATCCCGATGGCAGACTTAAACATCAAAGTCGGAATGGACAACACCAGATATGAAGATATCATTGGACAACATGGACTGACTGAGAGAAAGGAACGACTATTGTGACACATTTATAAATTTATGTGCATTCAATAAAATAGTTGTGTGTGGCACATTCCCCATAAACGCATACACAAAGCTACAAAGATCTCACTGGATGACACAACACAGAACCAGATCGATCATATTTGTATCATTAAAATATCCACAAGGTCAACGGAAGACGTGAGAACCAAGAGAGGACCTGGCATAACTTCAGAGCACCACCGGATGATTGCCGAGATTAAACTGAAGCTAAGGAAGAGATGGCGATTGGAGAAACAGAACTACGAAAGTTTATTAGTGTCTCCCTAAGAGTTAGTGATAAACTTAACGAGTTCATGATAGGGCTTAGAGATGACAAGCAGAAATAGGTGGAACACCTAACAACGAAAACGGAAAACGCTAATGGACAGGAAATCAAACAACAACCGTATGATACAAAGAAGAAGCTAGCAAAGAAATGTAGTAAACCAAATGATCAATCAAAAGCGAAGAACACAGTCAGTCAGTCACAACGTAGAGCTTCGTACGTACGTACATCAGTTCGAGTTGCCATACCAGATTTACACAGAGATGCAGTCCATCCACTGATTTGGGTGATAACATGGCGTCGAATATAGTTCGAATACTTCTTCCGAACATAACTTCAGCAGGGGACTTTCCATCTGAAACAATAGGGTTGGGCGTAGGTCTACAAGCTGTTAATAATTTTGTAATTACTTGATTTGTCCCCTCGTCTCCACCTTCCATCAATACTCTTTTAAACGTGTCAACAAAGCGCTCTGGCTGTCCATTTGATTGAGAGCGATAGGGTTAGAGAGTAAACGTGTAATTCCGTTAATGCTGCAGAAGTGCTTGAATGATTCTGAAGTGAATTGTGAGCTGTTGTCAGTCACCAAATTCTCAGCAAATCCGAAACAGCTGAACAATTCAGATAACCTCTTGAATGTTTCACTGCCTGTACAATTTGCCATATCATAGATTTGTGGCTATTTCAAGAGCGTGTGCACTATGACTAGAAGTACTTTTCCTCGTACTCGATCAACAAAATCTGCGTGAAGCCTCTCCCAGGGAAAATCAGGGTTTGTCTAATGTTGTGGTTCAAATTTCTACGGATTCTTGACCGCTTTTAAGCACGATGAACAAACGCAGCATCTAGTCTTGATACCTTCATCTATGGTAGACCAGTAAGGATAGTTTTGAGCAAACGATTTTATCTTATTGATATCGGGATGGCTGCTGTGAATGTGTTTCAAGACAGTTTGATGTAATGGTCTTTGGAACAACAATCCTGGATAAAAAGTTTCCCAGCGTTTCAGGGCCCCTTTGTGCTATTTCTGCGTCCCCCCCCCAAAAAAACACTACCATTCGCATTGACAAAACTTGGAGCATAAACGTGTTTTATTTTAAAATCAAAATCTCATAACCCTTTCATTGGTCTGTGGAGGTTCTGAGTAGCTGTGAGAATAACCATACTACTATCAGACAGGGTGAGTTGACAATGTTATACCCTAAAACCTTTATTTGGTCGTCCTCCAACCGAGTTTTCTAGATTATTATGACTTCGTGGAACATATGCTCCGGAAAAATAGCTCAATTGTACCATCTTATTAAGATACGCAATTCTTGCTGCATACAAAACTCAATATGCAAATGAGAAGACTGAAAGGAGTTATTTACTTACACCTATCACCCTCGTGGAAGAGCATGCGCTAGTCACCAGCATTCCCCATCCAACTATATCCTCGGATCTCCTCTCCAGTTGCTAATCATTCCTCTCACGCCTGATTTCGATTCCCGAATCAATGTATGCATTGATACGTACGAATGTTATCCCTCGTGGAGGAGCATAGACTAGCCGCCTGTACTCTTCATCCTACCCTGTCGTGGGAAATACTTTCCAGTTGCAATTCATCTTTTTCATATCTGCCTCCATTTTTCGACATAATGTGTTCTTCGGCCTTCATCTTTTCTGCTTCCTTTCGGGATACCAAGTTACGGCTTGCCTTGTGATGCAGTTTGGTGACTTCCTGAATGTACGTCCCATCCACTTCCAGAGACCCACAGTAGGCTGTTGCTGATGATATCCGGTGAACAGACATTGAGTACCATGCGTAGACAATGGTTCATAAATGCAGGTATGTTTATGATGGTGTGCGTAGTAGTCGTCGATGTCTCATTTCCGTACAGTATTGAAAACTCTGACTTTTGTGTTGACTGATAATTGTTTTGAGTCCAATATGTTCTCCAGTTGTAGGAATGCAGTCCTTGATTTGCCAATCCTTACCATCAATCATATCTGCATCAGATCCTCATTGTTCATAGATCATGTTGATCAGTGAAGTGCGTGAATTTTTCACCTACTCCAGAGCTTCTCCATCAAGTGTGATTGCATCATTGTTCTGTTCTCTACGATAGACTTGAGGGCCTTGTTGTTTCCCTTGTGTATGTTGAGGTCTACTGATGTAGAGAATGCTACTACAACGACTGTCTTCACCTGCATTTGTTGGTGTGTATGGGATAGAAGAGCTAGGTCATCTGCAAAGTCCAAATGGTATAGTATAGTATAGTGTAGTTGCATTCAAGCTGTCCACTCTATTCAATGATTCTACTGAGATGTGAAAGTCTTCACAATCCAGTCGACCATCGGAAGAATGAGGAAAGACGAGAGTAATCTTGTCTGACTTGTCCCACACCGATCCTCACTTCGAACGAGTCTGTCCTCCATACACGACTTTGCGGTGTAGTCCGTTGTATGAGTTCCGTATGATGTTGGTGATCTTCTCAGATACACAGAAGTGTTAAACAAGGTTCCATCAGGTTCTCCTATCCACACTGTCAAACACTTTCTCATGATCAACGAAGTTCATGAATAGTGACGAATTCCATTCGATTGGTCGCTCGACAATGATCCGTAGAGTCGCGATCTCGTCTGCACATGATTGATCCTCAACAAATCCAGTCTGTTGATCACGAAGCTGGACGTCTACTCAATCTTTCATCCGGTTCAGCAACACTCTGTTGAGAAATTTTCCTGGTAACGATAGTAGTGTGATGCCTGTGTAGTTGAGTCCCCACACTCGCTCATATCTCCTTTCTTTGGAATCTTGATGAGGTATCCTTTCTTCCAGTGGCACTTGTTCTCCTTCCAGAGTATTCTTAAATAGGGCACGGAGTATCTTTGCAATTACTCTTATGTGTGATTTCAGTGCTTCAGCTGGTATGTTGTCAGATGCTTCTGCCTTCCCACTCTTGATTTGTCTAATTGTCATGCTGTTCTCTTCGTTTGTTATTTGAGTGACACCATGTAATGTGTGTGTGTATAATTTGCAAGATCAATAAATTGACTGATGGAGTTGAAAAACGTAAGACATCGATGAATTATCTTTTTGCTCCCTATTTAGGAAATATCGAGAAAGATTCTTATCATTATCTACAATATTTACATTATATAATCTAACTTTTAGCATATAATATGAGCTTCATATTTTAGCAATTGAATGCAGTAATGTTTCTCATTTTATAAGAAAAAACATCAACTTCAACAGTGTGTGATGTTGAAATTAACAAAGTCTTTTATCTTATCTACTTCCTAATTCTACAATTTACATATCGTCAATATGAGATCTCAACGTTATTCATCTGGAAGAAAATATAGCTGTTGTGAAAAATACCATGTTGATTATTTTTAATATATTTATACTACTAATAAGTAGGCAAAATACGAATGCGAAAACAAAGAAAAATCATAAAACATCCGGAGAAAATTACATTGACAACAATAATAATACTAATAAACAATAATTAATTGCGCGCCTTGATTGATGCATTTGGAAGAATTACTTTATGGATAGTCATAACTGTTTACTGAGATAGTTGTATAAATTAAATAGTTTGTATTTCATATTCGAATATTAAACTGTTTTAATATTTTTATATATATCTAAACCAGTCATGGTATGTATTAAGTGTGGTAAACTATTCATAATTGTAAATAATTCACCAGTTAATTTCGCAACACCAATATCACCTTCACCTGTACAGATCATAGTGACTTTATCACATTTAGTTAAAGGTGAACTAATCTCTGCAGCAATTTTTGGCAACGATTGTAACACCATGTCTAATTTAGCAACATTCTGGAAAAAAAAGCAAACAAATAAACAAAATATAGAAAAATATTGGCAAAGTACATTTGCTTCTTAGAAAAACGAGTAAAATAGAGAAGATTTATGTACGTGTCAACACTGAGCCCCGTAAAATATAGTTATGTGAAGGACAGCAATATAACCTCTCTGACTTAATTAAAGTAGACGGAAGTTTCAAACAAGCAACTGAATAGTGGAAATTTGAGTGTTTTATACATTAAGTCACGGTTTCAACAAAATATGTGATTGTTGTTGTATCCCCTGGCGAATTATGAATCATAAATCTGATGTCCATTTATGGACAAATGTAATACGCCTATTCCTATTGGATAGTTGTTAAATGAGTAACCTAAATCTGATGTCTATTTATGGACAAATACAATATGCCCATTCCCTATTGGATAGTTGTTAAATAAGTGACCTAATCGTTTCCGTGTTCCTCTTATCATAACCTTTATTTTGACCTTGGAACTATTATTATTGATTACTTTCCCCCTAGCTACAGCCACATTGGCCAATTACTGTACAAATGTTATTTTTCTATTTTTGATATATGTGGTCTGTTTGGTTAGTATATATAACCCAGTATGCTTGTAAATAATGATTCATATTTCCGAGGCTGTTATTTGTGTTCTGGACTCAACTGGCTGGGCTAGGCAGTTAGGAAGGACCGAATAGCAATCAAGACTGCTCGTACGTATTTTCTGTATCATTGCACGTTTCATATACAATAACGATTGTTATACGAGTCATAACAATTGTATTTCAAGAAACAACACCATTCCTCATGATTGAGCTAAATGATAAACAGTAAAAACAAGATATATGTATCACTGCAAATCTTATTGACATCAAATGTTAACGTGGATATATCTCTGGTAAAGTTGGTAACCGAGTTCTACCCAACTTGTTATATATTTCAAGATTTTGGTGTTTTACATACTGTATGATAATAATAATCTACATAAATAAGCCTAAACTAAGAATTCGTAGTAAATCTGTACGGTAATTCTGTTGATCTGGATTCCTTCAAATGGACTTAACCAAAAATTATGCCAACATTTTTTCAATCATACATTGATGTAATTAGTGTTAATAATTAGTCGATGGATTCTTTTTTTTTCTTTTGTCATTATTTAACAGTACAAAACTTATCATGTAATTAAGAATCCATTAACGTTGGAGAAACGTGGAATAATGAAATGAAACACATTAGCCTAAAGACTATGAGTTCATTGTCAAAGCAGAAGACCATGAGTACAATCTCTGGAGATAATGGAGATGCACTGTTGAGAAGTCCCAAATTAAATTGAAATGCATGTATAATACACACTGATTTCGAATGATTTTATGTTTATATTAATATGTGATGCAAACTACATCAAAATATTATGTAATCTGTAAATAGTTAGTTTTAATTAACCTATTACATAAGCTGTTGAAATGTTCACATTTTTTAAATGTATCACTAATATTAGTTTCAATGAAGTCATAACTATAATTGACTTTATAATTGTGAAATTTACGAACTAATAATGTATTTAGTCATTATGACAATAAGGAATTCGCTGAAAAGAAATATCTCTTTCGTCCAAATTTTATTTGAAATGCTTTGATGGAAATATTTAATTTATGAAATTATACTTGAAATGTTTAAAGACTGATTTCTGACGGCTAAACATCTCGTGAAAATATTTGATAGAAGACTGTGTAATACAATATGGTTAACACTTTATATTCAAACCATTCATCAAATGGGTGCTTTATCATCGAACAATTCTGAGCTACTACAGAGAATCATCGGATATAGTAGTAAACACATCACTAACAAGGAACTATAAACAGATTTAATAAATTGAATTTTATCCACTACATATTAATGTGGGATTCTCCCCCATTGTTATTAGTATACATTTGTGTTTTCATATTAGTTTATAGATAAATAACTATAATTTGGTTAAAATATCCAATTTACTCATAATATGAAGGAAAAAAAAGAATCAGGAGCTTAGAATAGGCGATTAACGATGGTACTAGAAAATGATCATGTTACTGGAGTTATATAATTGTCAATAATTGAGTTTATGTCTTGTTATTCAACGGATATGTACCTACTCAGGACCAGTAGTTATTTGGTGTCTTTAAATTCGGCTGACAGAATAGTATAAATACACTTCATACAGTAAGTGTAACTTGAAGGCAAGAGAATGGAGCTAAACTCAGTCAAAATTCTAGTAATGTCCTCTTTACCTTTCCTAAAGGTATTATGATTGCTCTACAGATCAGAATACTAACAGTAATCAAATGAGATAAATACAAAATTCATATGCATTTTATGATGTAATTATTTCAATTAATAATTCTCCACTTTGAACCTCGCTCGCACAACTAGACTACAACAAAAACTTGATTACATGAACCCACAGTTGGTGAATGACTTACACAACAAATCAAACTTAGAAAGACTTCCATAGAGTATCTATCTTGTTTCTATGGTTTCCAAAAAATTCTCTAACTTATATCAGTCTTTTCAACATAGTTTATCTTCGAAGTAATTACCACTTATTGATTAATTGTTTTCTAGTGAATAATGCACTTATTTCATTTTGAATTTTATAGTACAAAAAACACACCTATATATATATATATATATATATATATATATATATATATGCAGTAGGAAAAAGTGAAAGGGTATTATAATAATTATAACAATCAATCTTCAACTGTTAAATCACAAGTACAAAACCTGTTTCGCTGACTATTTCTATTTGACTGACTGAGTAACTGGATAGTATCAATCTAACAGTTGAGTGCAAAGTAGATATATGTGCCTAAGTTCAAGTTGCCACACTACATCACTACAACGCGACGAAATTATGAAGTAGTAACACTATCGATAATAGTAGAAAACACTAAGCATAGGTAATGTGATTTGAGAGAAAAATTTATTCAGGGAATAAAAAGATAGGAAATAATCTTAAAACCCAAGATCTAAGGGAACACAGAATGAAAGTATCTGTGCTATTGTCAAAGATTTTGAGTCATGTTTTCAACCACTGGTTACAATAATCCCATGGACCTTAATCAGGTAGTTTGCATCTATCAACACCACTCAATACAGTGATTTCATGAATTGAGGCTAACTCTTGGTTAAGCAACACTTAGCTTTCTTTCAACTTACTGCTAAATGAATTAACATTTCGTGTCGAGGTAGGGGGTAGGTAGTGTTGTTACCTACCGGTATTAGAAAATTTAGTTTAACTGCAAGATCAGGAAACTATATAGTTGGCAAATGAGCTACATTATTTATTTTGATCAATAAACAAATAAATAAACAAACCTGATAATTTTTCCATGCTTCAGCTTTCTTTGCCATTTGTTCTGCCTCAGCGTGTGCTATAGCTTTTAACGCTTCCGCCTCAGCAAGACCACGCAGCCTAATAGCTTCAGCTTCTGCTTCCGCCTCGGCAGTTAAACGCAGCCGGTCAGCTTCAGCGAGACGTTCCAAACGAAAACGTTCAGCTTCAGCTGGTTTTCGTACTGTTGCATCTAAATGACGTTCTTGCCGTAAAATTTCTAATTCCTCCACTTGGATTTGTTGAGTTTTCTCAAGAACGGTGATTTGCATTTCTTCCTCCTTGATTTGTTGTTTAACTTTAGCTGCCTAGTTTTTGTTCCAAATGCAGGTATATGTGTGACAGAGAGACAGGAGAAGGATACATGAGATAAGAAAAATAACAAGTATTCTTTTTATGACTTAATTAATTAGTATAATTCGGTATTCAGGATTTAAATACAAACTGACTGCACAAATGAGACGAAATTCGAACCCATGATCCGTTACCTGAATATAAAACTGAGGAACATTTAAACTACTTATATAATATTCAACAAAATTTCAAATATAGAGGACTGATTCAGCAACTCCTTCAACTGAAACTGCTAACAATTATACTACGATTAGAACATTATTTCAAGCTGATTCCATAAAATACAATATATCTAAGTAGGTATGCAAATAACATACTTTAATTGATTCTGTAAATGCAGAATTAAAACCTAATAACGGCCAAATAGCAAAATGAAGTTGAATAGTGCGGGCAGTTCTAAATTCTGAGATAGGAAATATTTTCTTATAGGGCCTGCAAAAGAAACTAGGTTAATAATTCATATCTTCTTAACATTTAGGTCTGATCACAGAGCCTAAGAGACCTTACTGTCTGAACTGAAAATCTTTGAGGTGTAATGGAATGTGTTATGTTTTTGAACAAACCTTTTCTAACATCTTTCTTTCATCTGTGGAAATACATTATCTCCAGAGACACTGGTCATCTGTGAGAGACATTGCATTTTGATCACTACCGAGTACTGTTGACAATACAATCAATTGGATCGTCTTGATAAACTAGCCAGACTATTTCACTAAGGTAACAGCTGTAGTTGGATTCGACCACAACTAATTAAAGATATTTAACTTGAACACATATTCCATACATTTAGTTCCTTTTATTATCATGAAGACAGAAAAAAAGAATTGAGCAGATTAACATGAATTCATTTTATTTGTTTAGGTTCTCATAAGCTGCTTACAACTTACAGTATTTTAAGATCAAAATTATTATAAAGTTACCACAGCGATAACATGTGAAAAAAGAATCTGGATCATCAGACAGTAGATTGTTAGCAGTTGATGAGAATCTAACTAAACATTTTGCTCGATGGCTTCAACAAATAAAGAAATGATGAATTAATGAAAATTTCAACGTTCATTAAATCCATTTTAAACTAAGAATTTAGAATCTTTATTAATACTATCATTATTGATGAGTTGCACAACGTTAACTGGTGCATGATTTTCAAAAGTCATTTTGAAACAATAAAAATAACTACATGTTAAAAAATATCAACTTAGTGATATATATATATATATATCATCCAAAGTTTTGTTGAAGACTGAAAGGTTCGAGAATTCCTGGTACCTAATGTTGTATTTTTATTAATAGTCCATTCACATGGACAGTGAAAAACAAAAAAAACGACAAAGACAAACCACTCCAATGGAAAAAAAGCATAGACAAAATTTCAGTTAAAAATTACCTGTAATTCATAGGCTAATTCCGATTCCGCTTTACGTGATTGTACTTCTTTCTCGTAAGCAGCATTTTGTAATTCGAAATCACGTTTTGATTTAGAAATTTCAATATCATTTAGTAGTTTACCGGCAACACGTTGTTTTTCAGCTTCTGCTTCTCGAATACCAGCATCACGTCTTGCCTCGGCTTCACCAATACGTGCATCACATTTGACTTGTGCTGTTCTTGCTAAACCAAGTGAACGTAAATAACCCTAAGAAGGGATGGAGATACACAAATAAGAAAACAACATTGATTGGAATTGAATGAAAGATTGTATAATATAACTATTTTAAATTAAAATTAAGAACTGTTGAATTTCAACTGAATGGCTTGAAGATATTGTGACGGCCATAGGATATGATGGTGCTAAGGACGTATCGCAAGATAATTCATAATTAAAGTCATCCAAAGCTTCATTTAGAAAGTTTTCCGGATGACATAAGTTTGTGACGAAAATAACCTTCATTTTGTTTAAACAATTTTAAATGTTTGGTTTAACATTTGTCTTATAGTTTAGAAATTTACATGTACAACAACATTGTTAAAGATCAAATAATTGTCTAAAAAATTATGAAGGGTATTTACACAGTACTATAATGAGAAATGGCTTCAATTTTTGAAGTAAACTAAAAGTGAATAAACTTATGATGCTTGCAAATATAAATCATTTCTGATCCTGTAGATATATAGACATACTAAAACTCGCGTTTACTGTTTAATCATGTATTTTATTATAATACATGGATATGATATATGAAGTCATTGGCTCCCGTAGTGAACCATAATAGCAGGTGAATACTATCTGTTTTATGTTCTTGTGATAATCATGATCATTCGTTGAGGACGTTAGATGACAAGGCCTAGAATTGGTCAAAGTGACACGGATGCATTTACTCTTTATCTTTCCTTTAATACTTAGCTCCAATATTAGTTTATACTTGTATTACCCGAATGTACGTCTTCTTTTCGAACAATATTTTCTAATATTCTATTTTCCTCCATATCACTTCTACTACTACCATTTAGACTCCTTCACTATGATTTTTGTTAATTTGATTTTTACATGTCGACATGGTACGACAAATTGAACTAACACACATTTGTCCCAGGTTCTACGCTGATTATGACTGACCGAAAGACAAAAAGCTGAAAAACAACAATATCAGGCTAGAGGTATTTGGACACTATAGCTTTTGAAGAGTCGTTTGTGAGTGGTGAATAATATGAAGTAAATCAACTTATAAGATACGGGGCACGTACTGGTTGAGACTGGAGTCTGTTATACACTTCAAAACGTTACTCAAGGTAGTAATGTAATCTACCTAGATGGTAGAATAACTCATTAGAGTTCACTAACAACTGGTCTAAACTATGTACAAAACCCAGAATAAAAAAGGCAGGCACCATGAAATAAAAAAATCCCCCGCTATTAACAGCTTTAGCTGATGTAAGAATCGATAACAGAAATATAAACATCATATTATAATAAATATTATACATTTTTTAGTCTATCCATTTTTGGATTCGCCAAATATCAGCTTCTTTTATTTTGAAATTTTCAGATTGAATAACAATTTATTTACCAATCCATCTATGTTTATTACTAATGAATAATTTACACCGCAAGTATATGTGGATTGTTCTGAATTTAATTAAATCAACTTATGCTCCCTAAGTAATTACTTTCCATTTTTATCATGTATTACACTGAATTAAATCAGGCAAAAGCTCGTAGAATTCGATTCACCAACAGTTGGTTTAGTTTCATATTTATGCAGTGAATATCTGTGTGTTGATTATACGACTTTAGTGAATAAGTGATAGAATAAAACATAACTTGGCTGAACAAAATAAAGACGGTGAAATACTTAAAGATGTCAAAAGAAAATATGTAGCTCACAGAATAATTAATTCAATCTACAATAAACCTGATTATTTTTATTTATTTGAACACACAAGCATTGGTAAAAGGAGGAAACATATATATGTACCACACTTCGTCACTCGAATTGTGTGACGGGTGAAATAATTCCCGGGTGCCCAAACTGAAGCAGGTTGTTTTCTGTTATGCTTGAAGCTAAATCGATTCCGCGGTAACGAACGAAAGCCAATGACACAATGACACGATAAGCTATTCTAATCTGTTGTCCCAGGCCCCGCTAACTAGATGAAGAAGTCCAACGCAAGTAGGGGAATATATATGTATTCCGTAAGCAGCCGAGTACAAGCAATCGAATAATGGAAAAAGTCAAGCGCATTTATACAACAACAATTTGTCCTTGAGCATCATTGGTAAATAGCACACACAAAGAAACAATGGACCAATAGCGTTTAAGATAGTTTACAAGTGGGAAAATGACGTGAAGGTAAAAAGAGCGCTTTTGGCGCGAAAACAGCTAAATTCAAATTTTCAAAATAAAATTACAAGATTAAGCCATTTATCAAGTAAGTTCTGGGGATTTGACATCCCTAACATTTTCTTACGTCGGCCACTTCCCGAGCCTTCGACCTAGAGGTCTAATCCACAAGGCAGTAGAGCAACGTTAGGAGATGCAGTCCCATGGCGGCCGGTGATCAACATTTGGTTCACACGCCATTTGTTCCTCCAGGATATTGGAGCCCATGTGCACCACTGGTTTGGAATCACAGTTTCCTAACTCCCCTAGGTGGATCCTTCATATCCACCAACACGGTTAAAGCACCGGACATACGCGTCTCGTGCTCTTGATTTTGTAAACAACATAGCCGCCGTGAGTAGGTATTTATTTAGCTTAAATGAACAGACTCTAGTGATCTAACCCAATGAACTGGAGTTAAAGCAACTGAAAAGATGATACAAGCTATTTTTTTAACTAGTTGGTGAAATCCATAAGTCAATGTAATTAGTTTTCAATACTAAATTATTATTATTTCTTATTGAAATTATGTCCGATATTTGAGAAGGAATTGTTTACATAATAATAATAAAATGAATGCAGTTGGTGAATGTATTTATATCTAATGAGATTATGTGTAACTTCTAAAGCAGAAGAAAAAAAAAGATAAAAGTGGGGTAAACATGTGAAGAAAAAAGACAGAAATATAAATAAAACTGGGTTTATGAAGAGGAAAGCAATCGTACCTACTGTTTCTATGCACGTAAATGTGACTTCATGTTGTGCATTGCTAATGCCTCTGAGTTATTTTTTACTATGGCATAACCAAGAAGTGCTCTCTTGAGTACCGACAAACGGTTCTCCATGAACTAATTACGCACCTACTTTTATCACTGAAGGTGAACAAACATATGTACATCAAAATATTCGACTAATGTAACTTGTCCTTTGTACAGGTATGTAATGGTGAGTAACTAGTGTAAGATATCTGGAATGAAGAAGCATAAAACGTTCTCGTGATAACCTGACCATATGATACATCAGAACTTTATCTGATTCATTATCTTTAAGTACCAGATTAATGTATATTTTCTTTTGTGTAGTGATGACCGTTGGATGACTCGATATATTTAATTTTTATGCCGATGAACAACTGGATACTATCTTTAGCATTCGCTTACACAAGTGAAAATGTGATGACCTAGGAATTTTTATTTGACCCATGTTTCTTAGTAGAACCACCTAATGATGATCAGTTACCTCAATGTAATCACTTTAGAAGATTAAACAATGTCTTGAAGGATCAGTTATAAAAATTTTGACATTTTCTATCATCCATATTTAATGGTTATCAAAATTATATGAATGAGGCGACAAAAACTCGAGAAAATTAAACAAGGAGTTTTTGATCTTCTGAAATGTACAACAAATATAGTCATTATTATAATTAAATGAAACTGATATTTACGGTTTACATAATATTGTGATTTCAGTAAGAACGCCTGTTATTGTTTTTTTTACTTAATAGTGTGTATTTTGGTTAAACATTTTGATTTATTATATTAACATTCTTATATGAGTGCTTCTTACATTTTGCAGTATTTCATATTATAACTCATCAAATATCAGTTTATATGCTCTATTATTTCTATGTAGTGATAGTATTCTACTGCCCCCAAATGCCCTGGTACGGTCGAGAGTGAGGAGAGTATGCTCTCCCTCGAAAAATACTCTCACATGGCCACGCGTATACAGCCTCTACCAGGGAAGTCATACTCACTGCCTTCTCGCACTACGGGTGTTGTCTACAAAATTGAGAGGATGAAAAGCGAATGTCCGGCGCTTTAACCGGGTTGGTGAACATGGAAAGTTCACCTAGGGGAGTTGGAAAACCCTGATTCCAAACCAATGGTGAACATGGGCTCCAGTATCCTAAGGGAACAAATGACGTATGAACCTAGTGTTGGTCACCGGCTACCATGGGACTGCGTCTCCTTACGATGCTCCACTGCCTTGTGGGTTAGACCTCTAGGTTGAGTGCTCAGGGTGTGGCCCCCTAAGAAAACCACCTGCTTCGGTTTGGGCACCCGGGCAGTATCACAGCCCACACACAAATCAAATGAGATTTGTGTGACTCATATATATCTGGTGCCCCTTTGTACCAATATCTATATGTTCAAATAAATAAATAAATAAGTATTCTACTGCTCATATCAAAGTAAGCGATCTATTAGTTAAAAGGCCAGTGCATTAGACGCTTAAATGATTCTCATAGTTGAAAGCGTGAGTCAATTGAAGCTAGACCACCATGGAAAACCTGGAAGCACTGGACGGCCGTTTCGTCCTATTATGGGACTCACTTAATCTATTTTGTTTGTGCACAAAAGTGGAGCAAATTGTTGTTATATCCCCTGGTGAATTATCAATGGTAAATCTGAGGTATATTATCGACCAATGTATTATGCCTATTTCCTATTGTACAATTGTTACGTAACTAAACTATTCATATTCGTGTTTCTCTTATCATTAGCTTTATTTTGATCTTTGATTTATTATCATACGATTCTTGAGTTATAATCAGTTTATTGACTACTTTGGTTTGTATAAAAACCCAGTATGTTTGTTAATAATGATTCATATTGCCGAGGCTATTATTTGTGTTCTGGACTCAACTGGCTGGGCTAGGCAGTAGCAGGGCCGATACGCACTCAAGACTGCTCGTACGATTTCAAGTATCATCATTCGCGTCCGATCAATAAAATTCACTCCTCTCTAATCGCACGTTCATATATATTACGAGTTCACACGATATAACAATTGTAAAGCAAAATGTTTA